GTGTGGATCGAACAACACTCCACAGACTCCGTGGACTCCACACTATCAACCAAAGTCACATAGTATAGATGAGAAGCCCCTTAATATTGATGATGATGATACGTGTACCGTGCATGTTACAATACGACGATAACTAGTCATCGATGATAGTGGAACGGTTGAACAAGATGGCAGCTTCACGCCATCATTATATGGTACTCTCGTCACCTAAAGCTTCTATCAAACCAATATGTCCATTGGCAGAGCTCAACTGATGATGATCCCGGTCAAGGCATGCAGATGTTGGACTCCTCATCGAGGACGCTACCGTCCACTTCAGCATCCGGCGAGCAATCCACAAATACATTCTCTGCCACAATAGAGTACAGCAAAGAGGGAGGGGTCGGTTATGTGCTACCAGCTTTGATGTTTTGTTTCATCTTCTGCTTGTAAGTATATATCTGACACGCACCTCGAGCAGTGACCATAGGGAGGTAAGCCAACCTCTTCATCAAGCAACTCGTCAAATCTCCAATTGCCGGTGCTGCCTCGTCGTCCTGTCTTGTCATTAATTCGGATGTAATCCCTGGGATAACACACTGCACATTTACCGCCAAGGCCCTTACTTGAAGGATTGTGTGTTGGGCGGGTCCAGCTGTCCCGAAGCTACAATGTCGCCGAATATCCTATACCATCAATAGCACACTTCCCGACATGAAAGATATCTTACTGTCGAATATCACACTCTGGTATCCTGTCACCAAAGATGCTGTCCGGGTCGGTATTGGATTGGGCCAATACCATCGACTTCCACTCCAAAGACCATGCGGGGATGTGCTACAAGATACGCTACGCACAGCGAAGATTTCAGATTGCGTCGTTGCCTTCCGTCTCGCATCTTCTGAATGCTCATCAGTATCCTCATCGTATTCCGAGATTGGATACCTGACCAAATGCTGCTTAGCTGTCCGCACGCTATCAGGCATTCCCTACTGGTCATCAAGCCTCGGTGGGGAGTCCAAGCTCCTCAGCCGTTTCACCTAGGAAGTGCGAATGGTGCGGTACGAGTGGTATTTTAAAATAAACAGCAGCAGCAGCACCTTTCCGCCTGTTATGGTTATCCGATGATGGGCCGTATTCTTGCTCACAGTAGTAGAGAGGAGAACACGCCGGCCAGACCCCACATCCTCGGAAGAGGCTGACACGAATTCCCTAGGTATAATATCACCAAGCCCGCCGAAGGAGCCGATCGACTCCACGGCTATACCCGAGTTCCTCACTGCGACGAGATGCCCAAACGGATGGTGTCATTCTCACACAGTGTGGTACAACATGCTTGCATAGCAAACATGCACATGGTCAACTACACGCGTTGCTGCAAATCTCCTCGGAAATTCTAAGGGAATTTGGAAAAATTCTTGTTGGTACACTTCCCCCCAAATTCATATGTGAGCTTTCTATAATCAGCAAGGAAACTCCTAAGTTCAGCTGAGAAAAGCGAACGTATATTCCTCCAAAACTGTTGCTCACGTTTGTTGCAGCTGCCATCACTCTGTGCGCTCCCTGTCGGCGGTATAGGGGTCGAGAAGACCTTGGAGACCTCGTACTCACTAGGTAGACTCTCTAAGGGGGGTCTACTCCAAGCGGTAGAGAGCACCTACCAACGGCTCTCCGCACGTCTAGGTCCATCCCTCCACCCTTCTGGCCGGCAATAGGTGACACTGACAACACCCCCTCTGCCCCTATCGCCTCTAACAAGGGGCACTGACCATTGTCATCATTGGTCTCCATCATCTCGGCTATGCTCTTCCTCCCCTTAGCCCATACAGGCGTTGGAGGGTCGTCTGCTCCTCCTGGAGTCGCATCAGGAAAGTAACCTGTGTCCACATGCGCCTTCCCAGACACATACAGTTGATATTGATGATGAGTGTCACTCATTGAGTGATATGCCCCGATGTATCATGCAACCCGTTGATTAAACATCTCAGTTAATAACTGCCCTCCAAAAGGGCAACGAGCCTTCCACCAAAGGATAACACCGATTCCATTCGAGGATCCACCATGGAAGAGTGTATACAGGAATATTCATTCGAAAGCCGAGATAGATACCATACTGCTCACCTCTCTGCATCTGCCGTTTCACAGAGGCTGACATCGACGTTGTAGTATTAGTACGGGTCATCTGCCGAGGAGCGGAGGACGAATGCTTCTTAGTCTGCCCTCCAGAATGTCTCCCTCGCTGCCCACCACTATTCACCTCGAATTTGCTCGCTAGATCCTTCACTCGAGATCGCTGCGTATCGTTGCTGTGTGGACCAGCGGTAGCAGTAGAGCACTAGAGAAAACACAATAGGCTCGCCTACAGTATAGTAGATAGTACCGAGGACTGGTCCCCGATGTTGAATACTGAGTGGTTACCGATCGACCTGAGAAGGGCGGATACGTATCCCCATGCCTCATTACTGCATCTATACGCCCTTACAGTAGCTTGTCCCCGGGAGAGCGTGGGACCGTTGCAGAGGGCACTGCTGTGGTAACCCCCTTGGACAGGTCCTCACTCTCATCATTGACACTAGAACAGCAGAGGGAGTCTGGTGGGACCGAAGGTGGCTCTAACAAGTGCTGCTGACGATGAGTGGAGAGGTGGTGAAGGGTACCCTTATGATGGTGTAGGAGAGGTGCTGTCATAACCGATGGCTTGCTGGGGATGGGGACTCCTCTACTCTCCAGCCATGATGGTATTTCAGCAAGTATGTCCTCTAGACTGAGATAGAAGGAGTGCTAGTGATAGTACAGGGCCCCACCACCAGCCCGGTGACGGGGACAGGTAGTAGGTGTGGAAACAGGCGTTATAAACGACGGAGTTATATACTCCCCTGCTCACGAGAACGTGAAAAAAACTCATGGAAGGTATCCAACAATGCCAATCGTAACGTAAGTGGTAGTGACTAGTAGTAACTACCACTTACGTTACGACATCCATGGGATTCCCCAAACCCCCACAAAGGACCTCATATACTCGGCCCTAGGACAGCAGTCCTATCGACTTTGCTTGATGGGTTGTTTCTCCACAACCTCCTGTCCAGATCTACCCTATTCAATATTATGTCCCAACGCTTTGAGCCACGCCGGGTGCTGAAGACTCTTACGATACGATGCTTACCATTCATCCGCCTCTTTCATGCAAGTGGTCAACTCCGATTCCAATGCCATCACTCCAGCATCACCGGCGTCCGCTAGGCAACCGAACATACCGGCTAGATCCACTCTTCTCGGCTCTGGAGAGTCGCGAAAGGACATTAGGGAATACAACACGGCACCAAAAGAAGCAGGAATATAACAACAAACCATGATACCACGCCCTAGTGAACCTACTTCACTCCAGATGGCCGTACTCCATATATAGACCAACACCAAGCACAAGTTAGCATGATGAAATGCCGAGACTAAGGCATGTTCAGGAAGAGGCTCATACTAGTCGTAGCATGTAGGTGTAGACCCGTCACTTGGCGGAAAGGGCAACCCCCCTCGGAGCGGCTTGGAGGCGTATCACAATATGGGGGGTTGGCAAAAGAGAAGATTCAAGGGTGAATCGGGGACATCCGGAGGTAGGGAGGAGGAGCCCAACCTCACCACTGGGCGAAGTGTCGTGCTTCTGACTCATCCGCAAGAAATACCGTCACTAAGGATGGAACCGGATACCTTTCAATGGGTCTACCTCGCTGACGTGCGCTCCCACACCACCATCACTTCATGATCCTTGCAGGGGACATTTCCTGCTTTGTTCACAGTACTATAGGTATCGACACAATGAACTCCTTACATTGAAGAGGGTTACGTGTAAGGCACACTGCCATCCAACACTGCCCATGTAACTTAGCATGTTACCTAGGAACCCATGAGTTGGGTGGTCGTGTATGGGATGGACCCCCCAGAGCTACAGCTACTAAATTAATCCACACAAGCTATGAATATCGGTCATCGAAAGAGCAGAATTGATGACATGACGAGTCAATATGGTATTCACTGATGGTGTACGACATGATGAGTCAATATGGTATTCACTGATGGTGTACGACATAACGAGTTAATAGGGTATTCACTTATGGTGGACGACATGATGAGTCAATATGGTATTCACTGATGGTGTACGACATAACGAGTTAATAGGGTATTCACTGATGGTGTACGACATGATGAGTCAATATGGTATTCACTGATGGTGTACGACATAACGAGTTAATAGGGTATTCACTTATGGTGGACGACATGATGAGTCAATATGGTATTCACTGATGGTGTACGACATAACGAGTTAATAGGGTATTCACTTATGGTGGACGACATAACGAGTTAATATTGAGTTAATATGAGTTAATATAGTGTCTTCGAGCAGAACTGCCAGCTTGAGGATGAAGACTGTGTCCCCAGTAGAGGACCTCACTATCTCCTCAGCAAAGCAATCAAATAGAGCGACCATGCTCGTCTCCTTGGTCACCTTCCAAGACTTCCCAACCTTATCGTAACAGAGAATAGCTGCTGTGCGGTCGGTGAGCTCCGACCACACGCTCGCTGTCTTCTCCAGTACCACGGCCAGAGGTAAGCCCTCAGGATTAACAGAGTCGCTCACGAAGCACTCTCCATTGAACGTAACTCGATAACGATAACGGGGCTCCCTCTGATGCATCTGCGTGCTTGTGACGATGCCTTGGTGTGCATCCGAGGCGGCTTGTGGAGGAGGAGGGCTTGGGATGGTGCCCTCGGGGAGAATGGTCACATCGAGAACGAAAAAACCATCTCGGCCAATATCATCAACCCTGCGAGCAAATTGAGCAAAAAGTGGGAGCTTGTCTGAGTTTCGGATATCACAAGACTTCCCCTCTCCATCGTAGCATACAATAGAGTACTTGGTGCCACTCCTTCTCAATGACGCGTGTCAGATGATCATTATCGTATTCTGACAAGCGATGGTCAGTCGTGATGAACTCTAAGCCATAGGTAACCTTAAAGCAATGGTGTTCATCCAGAGGCATAACTCGAAAAATGTTGTAACTTGCGAACAAAAATACAGATTTTAAATTTCTACAATTATCGTAGGCCACACCACTGCTACTCAATAATTGTTGACTCCGAACACTCTTGGGGACGAGCGTCGCCACGATATTCCTTCTCACGTATACGAAGTTGTGTACGATACGCGATGTTCTACATTCCTCATGAAGCAATCGATGCTACAATCTCAGGTGAGATGGCCAATTCCATTCCGTCCCACCAACGGCCAGCCCATCCCTTCCGCTTGCGAGCCAGCTGTAATCATCATTTCCTCCACAGTATGCTCAGGCTATGCTGTAGAACCTGGCTGTACCACCTTCCCCAACCTATGAAGAATATTCACTCATGGCACGGCTATTCCCCAGTCCACCAAACCTCAATACTATTCCCTTATTGAGATTTCGGGCACAGAGGAGGGCTCTCGATGCTAACGGTGTGTTCCCAACCCACCTCAATATATATCCAACTAGACGTGTAACTGTGTGTTGGAGGTCGACTTCTATAGAACAAGTTTTTCTAGTCGTATCGGTGCCGGCAAACTCTCCAGCTCTATACACATTCCGCTCTTTGACCATGCTCCACAAAGAGATAGAAGTTTACATTATCGCTGTCAACACAACATAGAATTTAGTGAAGTACTGTGTACTCGAGGATGACGCATGCATGGGAGTTGATTACACTGCATTTGATCAGCGATATACGAGTTTTCGAGTTGGATTTATATATAATAGTACGCCTCTCAACCACGACTACTCAGCCTCAGCCCTCTCCCCAAGACCGGAGGGGACAGTGCCGTCCTCCCTGGCCCCGGCATAGGGCTCGGCCATCTCTGCTCCATAGGGCTGCCCTGGATAGATATAAAGCTGGGCGATCTACTACGAAGAGCAGCAGAGCCACTCCCCACTAGAATGGGTGACTGGCCGCCCGATGTGACACGATAATGAACAGTGCGGCCAGTAGCATCTGGGGAGTAAGCCATCGTATTAGAGCCGACACGACCAGACTGTTGTTGATGATGATGCACTGAGGGGGACGGTAACAGGCGTGGGGAGGGCGATCGAGCTCGAGCCTAACAAAGGGTCAGCTTTAGTATATCTCGCCTACTACTACGTTCATGGTATCGACCACAGTCGTCCATTTGGGTATTGATGAGAAGGGCACTCTCTGTGGGGGAGGGGAAGGGCTCCGTGATAGACGAGTGTGATAGGCGTTCAAAGCAATCGCCTGAAGGGAAGGTGACTACTCCCCATCACCGTCCAATCCCCTCACATCTGCGAGTCGAGGTGATCGTGGTGACACGAAACATGGGGTGGATCCATACAGGGGGGAGTTGACAGCTAAGCAACCGAATCATAGGAATGAGCAGTAGAGGCTTACGGCATCTACTGCCGACTATCCTCGCCGCCGACGGATGTCGTGTATCGGCGATGTTCCTGTCACCCTCGTTTACGTCGTGAGCGATCGGCCAATGGGTGGCAGATGACGCCAGTCGGGAATTCTATAGAATGGGGTAGCGGCAGGAGAGGGTACGACCAACCCTACGCTCCTGACGCTGGCCATGCTCGGTCTAGAGTCCATCCTGTGAGCCCCCGACACCTGCTTCGCTGACCTATGGAGAGGCGGCCTTACCGTACACATGGTATACCTCACATCACCTCCTCGAAGACCCTATACTGGTCCGGTTGACACTATCAATGGACTCGAGACGAGGTCCACGTAGAGATGTCCTCTGGGACTCTGTAGTGGTCGAGGTAGTGGAACCCGTCCTCTCACGAACCGTCTCAGCCGATGCTTCCACCACTGTGCCACTGTCGCTAGGAGCATTCGTACTGGCCCCTCTACTGGCCGTGCCCAGCCGAGCACGTATCTGAGCACACTGGTGGCACTAGGGAGGTGATGCTCACTACCTTGGCAAGCATCTCCCGCTCCTCAATGACGAGATGACTGGGTGCTGGCCATCGACCTGGGCTAGGCTTGTCCACGAACCAAGGATGGTCCAATACTCGATCCACACTCAACCGTTGCCGAGGATCAAGCTGCATGAGCCTGACGAGCTTAGCGTAGGCCTACAGCCTCAACCAGGCCCGACCCTACTTGAGTATCAAATCCTTGGCCTGTCGAGAAAGGTGTCGGGCGCCCTTCCTCCTAAAGAGCTGTTCCACGTCCTAAGTCCGTGTAGTCAGCAATCTCTGCATACTGCTAAACCCCTACCCCAGTGGAGAAGGCGATCCAGTCCTTATCCCCACTACGAGGGTCCGCCGTCTGGAAGAGGCTTCTGGCAGTGAGTAGGTAGAATATACCTTGAGGGCCATCAACACTCCCCTCTCCCTCAGCCCACCCTCCCTACTCCAGCCGAGGCACCACGAGTCAACAGCTGTGGCGATGTAATCTCTTCTGGAGTACAGCTCAGGGGGCCGGAAAGACTTCCCTAGGAGGCCTCTAGGGGGGAAAACCATCGTACAATACAATGCCACAAAGGCTCCCATGGACCCCACTTGAAGTGTATTGGTTCTTCCCTTCCATGCTTGTCTATGGTGAACTCAGTGGCCTGGCCTGGGTCACATATCTAGACCAAAACTAGGCCACGCTACGACCAGCACCACCATCCACCTTAACAGTATAGTTGCCTGATTCTGGATCAACAAATAGTAGCATGTTCTCCAGTGACACATCCTGTAGGGCCAGACCGTGGCTGATAGGGAACTCGACTACCAGTGCAGGAGCAGCAGCAGCAGCCCCACACTACCTATGTAGATGGGCTATGCCTTGGGCCGCCTCCGCCACCACACACTTCACTATCTTCTCCTGGAACCCACTCTCGGTAGCATTAGAGACCTCCTTCAGTGCCTCCAGCAGATCCCCTCCTGTGACCAGCGACACCAACTCATATGCACAACCTAGGCCCCGCTACCTCGTGCCAGGGGTGACGCCAGGTAATGGCAATGGTCATCTTCCGAGTGGTCTAGCAGCTCAAGAACATGATCATTATCCCTCATTTTAGACGCATATGTGACCTCCGACAGCGGCATCTCACACAACTCGACATTTCGATGACCCTAAGGAGGGACCATCCTACACCAGGGGGCCCACGGGCTCCCACCCTAGCCTCCCTATGCATCTTGGCAAGCTCCCTCTTGTGCAGTACTTTAACTGCATAGTCCCTACCAGACTTCAAGCCCCTAGCCTGAGGTCGATGCCCTCGATACCCCTCCCTTGCCACCCATCCTACCCTATAGACACCCCCAAACAAAGCAGACTGCAGCTGCTCGATTAGCTCGTACACCTCCCCAGTCGAGCCCTTAACGTAAGGTCCTACAGCGGCTCGTCCCGCTACCGGCAATGTTGGGCCTCCAACCCTTGCGGCCCCTCTCACTGAGACAACTGGCATGAATAGTCAACATTTAAGCTGCCCTGTCCACTATAGATGGGCAGAATTACGTTACGGGCCGCTACGGCTCAATTTTACGGTTACGCTTCAAGCCCCGTACCGTAAAATTACGGCCCCGTAACGGGTCCTGCGGATATGCAGAGGACAAGACGAGGATTGATATAGATAGGAAGTTGCATAAATCTATTTCATGTGAATGCGAATCCGTAGATGAGGCCGGCTTGGCAGTTCCGGGCCAGCCTGGGAGTAAGACGGACGGAATTTGCAAAGGAGACGAGTGGTAAATGCGAAACTAAATGTTACTCTCTCAGCGGTTCGGTCGAATCCGA